GAAAAATTGTACGAAAGCCTAGTTTGGACATTTTATAGCAATTCAAAATTACTACCTATCACCTTTAGCATGACAATTGCAATAAAATTTATATACAAATTGTTAGACTGGTTTTTCATAATATCATTGAAGTGGAGCTAGTCTTATAGGATTGTAAGTATGTTTTATTTTATCACCTTGCACTTTCACGACTTGACTGTGGGTTTTCTACAGCAGTTTGTTCAAATTTCTGACCAGTTGAACAGTTTGGTTTTATAAAACAAATTGCAATTTGGTCAGAATTTTGAATAAATTGCAATAGTTGGAGAGCAACACTAACAGTCGAGTCACAGTAAAAATAAAATATTGAAAATAAAAGCATCACTTGCTCGACTATATCTTAAATGGAAAATCTGCAAACGACAAAATACCTTTGGTGATCTCGATATGAGTTTTGATTTGTTTGTACAGATTTGAGTGTGTAAGCTTTTAAAAACATCAGCCAACCGTGAAAAAAAAACTTCATGGGAAATGGTTTACCTCTATCCTCCGACATAAAACATCAAACGATCGTTTTCTAAACGTTTATTTCTTTATTTGTAAAGATGAATTGTGGTTATATAAAAAAACAAATTTAGTCATTATTGAAACATCTTAAAAAATAACAGGACAACAAATTAAATTATATTAAACACACCCTATTACATGCTACCACGACGGCAGATACAATAGGATCGGTGTTACCAATTGCCATAAACAGCAATTATTTGGCTATTGTGTACAGCAGATTTTTGTCTGCGTTTCAGAGTACCATTGCCATACAATGGATTTTCGGCAATCGTGTACAGCAAATTTTGATCTGTAACCTATTGCACCGGCAGTACCGAAAGCCGGTAATGGCATATGGACAGTACTAGATATAAATAATAGTGACCACAGTTGTAAGAGTTATAATAATAAAATTTGATGTAAGGTGGGAAGGACACGGTTTTAACAATTCGACCCAAAAAATAAGGGATATGCTTATGATTGAAATGAATACTTCATAATGAATTAGTTATACTGAATAATGCATTAATTTGGGGCAAAATGCCATCTTCGTTTAATCGGACTATCACGAAGAAAGATGCACTTAAAAGCTTGACGTTAAAATGAAACGATATCTGCTAACCGACTCGAACACATACTGACAAATTATCTTTAACTGTAATCTTCAAATAGAGACATATTACATGATATTGTATGTCTCTGTTTCAAACAATGTTATCAGTGGTTTACTACATTTTATTTTAATCAAATATGAAAGCATTGTGAAATAACAGAAGCTGGAAGATAAATGAAAATCTCTACAGGCACGTCATTCCTGGATTTCTTCAAGCAAATATATGTAAATAATTGTTAAACAGAAGTTATCATGTAAGTAATCAGGTTTTAGGTGATTTTAATATAGTGTATGCCCTTGAGAGTTCAATTGTATCATAATCGGAGGTCCTCTACAATTTTACACTCAATCGGACAATAATACGCATCAAGGCCCAAAATTACTCCATAAAATGTCTACTGATACGACTGTGACTATAAAAACACGTTTAAAGTTTTTGCTAGAAGCCAAGCTTTTTGTGTATAATCTCTATTTTTGTTACGTTATCTGTCAATAATCAACATTAACTGAATGGGTTACTTACCACGATAATTTGTAGGATTTTACCTCGGGCCTGAATAATTATCTGCTAAAATTTGTCTTTCAAATATTCGTTAGTCAATTATGTCATGCTAAAATTATGATATTAAAATTCTCTGATGGAAATCTTGAGACATTTATTTTGAACTTTTGAACACATAATAAACGAAGTGCTTTTGACGCCTAAGACATATATTGTTAACAATTATTCAGCCATTTCTGAATATTTTTATGATGGAAAGCTTTTTGCAACAAGTATCATTTGTCTTGGTCAGAAAATATAGCAAATATTTTCTAAAGCGTTATAACAGAGACATATAATACCATTAAGGGTCCGGTTATAGAACCTATAAATGTGCATGAAAAGTGGTAGTTTAATGAAATCATGATTACTCTCCCGTTTTGGTAGTAGAAAATGACTTTAAAAAGTTATTGTTTTTCTTAAATATTGTAAATGATGTGGAAATTCACTTTTTAAGATTATTCCATTTATCAGAGACATATATATGTCTCTGGATTTATTGAGAGGAAGCCTCAAATTTGGATATTTCCCAAGTTTTAAGGGAAAAAACACCTAAAGGGAATTAAATGAAAATAACACTTTTATAAATTGCGTGCATTCGACGCGTTCTTCTGGTTTTACCTTCATCAGGAACGCTCAAACCTCAACTGGATGTATAAAAACGTAGAAACCGTGGGAGTTATATGACAAATACGGACTTTAAAACAATAGCGTAATTCATCTATTAAGGTCAACTTTTCCTGACGGAGTTCAAATTCAAACGCAACCTGTGGTTAGTGAATCCTAACCCCTTCACCACTAAAAACAAATACACTAGAAATGCACGTATTTTAGATATACCAGATTGACTCTGTAGTCTTATGGTAATGGGCTCGTCTCAGGTGCGATAGGTCTTGGGTTCGATCTATTACCGACCAGAGAACACAGTTATTTTGTAGTGCATTTCTTTACAACAATAAATGCAAATCAAAAAACCCTCCAGCTCTTTTTCAATAAGATTTTTATAGTGTAGTGTACTACTTTCGGGACAAATTATATCAAAATTATAGAAAAGTCTACCAGCTCTTTCTCGATAAGATATTTATAGGGAAGTGTACTATTTTCGGGACAAATTATATCAAAATAGAGAAAAGTCTACCAGTTCAAACTCAAAATATGGACAATTTTATCTTAAGGGGGTCTATAATTCAGTTTGACAGCTTCAGACATACTAATTGTTTTACCTTTTTGAACTTGACTATATCACTACTTCAACTTAATTTATGACCCACATTTTTTTACTTTTCTACCCCATACTTACTATTTTATGGAAATCTAAATTTAAAGAAATAAATTTGGAAGGTGTATAAAAAAAATTTGCAAGTTATACACTGTCCCACACTATATTTGTAAGACAACGAAAATCAAAGGACGATAATTGTGTCCCTGGGCTCGATATTGAGATATAATATGTCGATTATACTATTTCAAGGTCAAACTAAAGACTTGGGAAAAATTGGTATTTGCTGGTTATCTGCTACGCAAATGGCATTTTAAAAGAGTAAAACCAAAGACTGTTCGACTCTGAATCAAACTGATATGTCCGGGTTAGTTGACATATCTTCTTTCGAACTTTTAAATTGTGAACTAGCGTTAAAAATCCAGCTGAGCTGAGTAGGTTAAGTACATGTTAGGGTTCACATTAAAATGTTCCTCGTCCCGATATGCATGTAATTGTCACTGGATTTATACACCATCAATCATCACCACCATAAAAACTGTTAGACCCTCCTATCGTCTAAAAAAATAAAAGGTTCCTTTTGTTCTGTTATACTGCTATTTAATGATTTCATTAAAACAGTCAGTGGTACAATTTAACTGACATGATGATATGCCACCTAGGACAAACAACAATGATGATATGCCACCTTGGGTAGATACCAATGATGATATACGATCTAGGACAGATACCAATGATAATATGCCACCTAGGACAGATACCAATGATGATATGCCACGTCGGACAGATACCATGATAATATGCCACGAGGACACATACCTATGATAATATGCCACCTAGGACAGATACCATGATGAAATGCTACATAGGGAAGATACCAATGATGATATGCCACCAAGGACAGATACCAATGAAGATTTGCTACTTACATATTTGAGCATATAAAAATTATGAAATGACACCTAGGGCACACATAAATAATGATATACTATCTAGGATAGATACCAATGACGAAATGCCATCCAAGACAGATACCAATGATGATACACCATCTGAGACAGAAACTAATGAAGACAAGTCCCCTACCGGTTAAGAATCCATTGTACTGGAACAAAATGCTAACGTGATCTATAACTAGTCATGGTGTAAACTATTTAACAAATATCAAGTCAATATCTTCAAGCATGACAAAAAAAAGTGTGGAAAACTGATTATTTGAGTGAATTTTCTAAGTCCAAGGACCATAACTCTGCACAAAATCATCAGACCGGAACATAATTCAAACGTGATCTGTAACATGTCAAGATAAAACTATATACCAAATTTCAAATCAATATCTTCAAGCACGACGAAAAAAATGTGGAAAATTGATTTGCCAGACTGACGGATGGACAGACAGACGGACAGTCGGTAGGGGACAAATAAACGATGGACACAATCTAGGGCAGCTGCCAATGATGATACATCAGCTAGGGAAGATGTCAATGATGATATCTCACCTAGGGCAAATACCAATGATTAATGTCACCTAGGGCAGATACAAATAATGATATGCCACCTACTTCCTAGGGCAGTTATCAATAACGATACCCAAACGAAGACAGACACTAATCATAATATAGGGTATAAACAACCTAGTACAGATGCCAATGATGATATCTCACCTAGGGCAGATACCAGTGCTAAATGCCACCTAGGGCAGATACAAATAATATGCCACCTACTACCTATGGGAGATGCCAATAATGATACCCCACCTAAGACAGATACCAATTATGATATAAGGTATAAATAATCTAGGACAGATGTCAATGACGATACCTCAGCTAGGGCAGATACAAATGATATGCCACCTACTACCAAAGGCAGATACATATGATATGCCACCTACTACCTAAGGCAGATACAAATGATATGCCACCTACTACCTAAGGCAGATACAAATGATATGCCACCTACTACTTAAGGCAGATATAAATGATATAGCACCTACTACCTGTGGCAGTTACCAATAATGATACCCCACCTTATTTGGATACCAGTGATGATACCTCAGCTATCAGATGCCAATGATGATACCTCAGCTAGGGCAGATACCAATGATGATACCTCAGCTATTGCAGATGCCAAAGATGATACCTCAGCTAGGGCAGATGCCAATGATGATACCTCAGCTAGGGCAGATACCAATGATGATACCTCAGCTTGTGCAGATGCCAAAGATGATACCTCAGCTAGGGCAGATACCAATGATGAATGCCACCTAGGGCAGATACAAATGATATGCCACCTACTACATAAGGCAGATACAAATGATATGTCATCTACTACCTTAGGCAGATGCAAATGACATGCCTACAAATGATATGCCACCTACTACCTAAGGCAGATATAAATGATATGCCACCTACTACCTGGGGCAGATTCCAATAATAATGCCCCACTTAAGTCGGATACCAATGATGATACCTCGGCTAGGGCAGATGCCAATGGTGATACCTCAGCTAGGGCAGATGCCAATGGTGATACCTCAGCTAGGACAGATGCCAATGATGATACCTCAGCTAGGGCAGATGCCAATGATGATACCTCAGTTAGGACAGATGCCAATGATGATACCTCAGCTAGGGCAGATGCCATTGAAATAGCTCAGCTATGACAGATGCCAATGATGATACATCAGCTAGGACAGATGCCAATGGTGATACCTCAGCTAGGGCAGAAGCCAATGGTGATACCTCAGCTAGTACAGATGCCAATGGTGATACCTCAGCTATGACAGATGCCAATGGTGATACCTCAGCTATGACAGATGCCAATAGTGATACCTCAGCTATGACAGATGCCAATGGTGATACCTCAGCAAGGGCAGATGCCATTGATGATACCTCAGCTAGGACAGATGCCAATGATGATACCTCAACTAGGACAGATGCCAATGGTGACACCTCAGCTAGGGCAGAAGCCAATGGTGATACCTCAGCTAGGGCAGATGTCAATTGTGACACCTCCGCTAGGGCAGATGCCAATGGTGATACCTCAGCTAGGGCAGATGCCAATGATGATACCTCCGCTAGGGCAGATGCCAATGATGATACCTCAGTTAGGACAGATGCCAATGATGATACCTCAGCTAGGGCAGATGCCATTGATGATACCTCAGCTATGACAGATGCCAATGACGATACATCAGCTAGGACAGATGCCAATGGTAATACCTCAGCTAGGGCAGAAGCCAATGGTGATACCTCAGCTAGTACAGATGCCAATGGTGATACCTCAGCTATGACAGATGCCAATGGTGATACCTCAGCTAGGGCAGATACCTAAGGTGATACCTCAGCAAAGGCAAATGCCATTGATGATACCTCAGCTAGGACAGATGCCAATGATGATACCTTAACTAGGACAGATGCTAATGGTGACACCTCATCTAGGGCAGAAGCCAATGGTGATACCTCAGCTAGGGCAGATGTCAATTGTGACACCTCCGCTAGGGCAGATGCCAATGGTGATACCTCAGCTAGGGCAGATGCCAATGGTGATACCTCAGCTAGTACAGATGCCAATGGTGATACCTCAGCTATGTCAGATGCCAATGGTGATACCTCGGCTAGGGCAGATGCCAATGGTGATACCTCAGCTAGGGCAGATGCTAATGGTGATACCTCAGCTATGACAGATGCCAATAGTGATACCTCCGCTAGGGCAAATTCCAACGGTGATACCTCAGCTAGGACAGATGCCAATGATGATACCTCAGCTAGAGCAGATGCCAATGATAATACCTCAGCTAGGACAGATGCCATTGATGATACCTCATCTAGGACAGATGCCAATGATGATACCTCAGCTAGGACAGATGCCAATGACAATACCTTAACTAGAACAGATGCCAATGATGATACCTCAGCTAGGGCAGATGCCAATGACGATACCTTAACTAGAATAGATGCCAATGATGATAAAACTTAATCCAAACCTATTTTTTTAATAAAGGACATTCCGTCAACGAAGGTGATATTTTAAGAAAGCCAATACCAGCTCTGTTTTGCCTTCCTTGATAAATAATAAACAAAGTTGCAGTCTTTATAAATGACTTATATATTCTGTGTAAATAAGGACTTATGTATAAACTCAGTGCACATTTAAATGATTAAATACATTGAGTCCTAAGTCAGGAATCTGATGTTCAGTAGTTGTTGTTTGTTGATGTGGTTCATAAGTGTTTCTCGTTTCTCGTTTTTTATATAGATTAGACCGTTGGTTTTACACTAGTAATTTTTGGGGCCCTTTATAGCTTGCTGTTCGGTGTGAGCCAAGGCTCCGTGTTGAAGACCGTACTTTGACCTATAATGGTTTACTTTTATAAATTTTGATTTGGATGGAGAGTTGTCTCATTGGCACTCATATCACATCTTCTTATATCTAGTTTAAACATCAGCATCTTACTAAAACTCACAGAAGTTAAATCTTGATATATCAAAAGTTTACTATATTCTGTGTTTTGTAAACAAATTAATTCAGGAAGATACACCTTTAAAAAATATTGCATAGGTTGTTTCCTCTAAAGTATTTAAATGTTCAATTCATTATATACTTGGTCCACATCTTTTTGTCATATAAATATTGGCCGTGATATTCCTTACACTGGTTTTAAACCACTAGTGGTTATTAGAATCTGTATAATTACCTAAAGGATCAAATCAATGTTCCTCAATAAGTAACTTGTGTGATTTGTCTTCCCATTATCACATCTTGCAATACATTATAAGCCTACTTTAAAGTAAATCAGATTAATATCTACATCAAATACATTACCTTTAATAGATGTTAAACCTTTAAGATTTTATCTAGAACCATTTCATTTGACACTACTACAACATATAATTCATATAGCTCATCATTCTGAGAGATTTATTTATCCAACTTTACAGGGTCCTCCAACCGGCAAATATCCTGGTACCATTTAAAGTAATCCTAACACTATTTAAAACAAACATGAGGCTAAAGGATACTGTATTCCTCTCCTGCTATCATTGCATAATATTGAATTGTTTTCCTCACAAAGTTTGAAAAGGAAATGATGTTTAGACAGTCAAAAAGAAACTTGATTTGTGTAAATGGTACACTCACATTGAGCATATTGAATCACAGTCCAATCAATGAAATTAAACATCTTTTGGAACCCCAATCAGAAAAATAAAGCAAAAGAGTAAAGGTTTCCAGTACCCATCATGCTAGTAAGTGTTCATACAATAATACCCCTGAAAACAAAACTGTAGCATAAATAAAATATAGAATGGAAATGGGGAATGTGTCAAAGAGACAACATACCGACCAAAGAGTAATAAACTGCTTCGCCAAGCGCAGCTGGATACGACAGCAGAGGTCCAACCCAACAGTTGGGGCAAAAATGGACACACTATTCAAGCTTGATACAGGTCTGAATTTGGATTGTAATTAAATATTTGACACATTAAAGGTTTCTGACACAGAATTAATGTAGTCAAAGAACTTAAAATTGGTTATATGATTTGAATTTATATTCAATTGAAGATTTCTTGCTTTTGTGCAATACACTGTGCTGTTGCGCAATACTTAGTAAATCTGTTTTCAGACTATATACAAAGAATTAGCAATTGTGACCCCCAATTTTTCTTTGGAAAATTGACAGTTTCTTAAATCTTGAAGAAAAAAAATTGACAACCCCTACTTTTACCCCCCAACCCCTTTTTTTCCAAAAATAAATATTTGAAGAAATTTTCTTGTTAATTTCTTAAATCTTGAGGATAAAAAAATTGTCCCCCCCAAAAAAAAAAATTTTTTTTTTACCCCCCAATTTTTTTTTATAACCCCCCCCCCCCCTTTTCCAAAAACAAATAACATTTGAAGAAAATTTACTTTTTGTAAAATGTGGTACATTTTATTAAGAGACATCAATACACTTAAACACAAGTTATTGTCTGAAAACTAGAAAAATGCTTGTTTTACACAATTTTTGGCCCCTAATTCCTGAACGGTTTGGACAATTACCCCCAAAATAAATCCCAACCTTCGACTTGTGGTACAATTTCAGAGCAATCAATATACTTATACACAAGTTATTGTCCTGTTTCCAGAAAAATGCTTGTTTTGGGCCCCTTTTTGGCTCCTAATTCCTAAACGGTTGGGACCATCACCCCCAAAAACAATCCCAACCTTTTTTTAGTGGTATTGAACCTTTTGGTAAAATTTCATAGAGATCCATACACTTAAACTTAAGTTATTGTCCGGAAACCAAATGTCTTGGGACAATGACGCAGACGACATGATAGCAATATACCACCCCAAAATGTTTTTGCGGTCGTATAAAAAACACAGCTGAAGGCCACCAATGGGTCTTCAACACAGCGAGAAAATCTCGCACCCGGAGGCGGACTTCAGCTGGCCCCTAAACAAAAATGTGTACTAGTTCCGTGAAAATGGACGTCATACTAAACTCCTAAACATATAAATGAACTAAGATTAAAAAACATACAAGACTAACAAAGGCCAGAGGCTCCTGACTTGGGACAGGCACAAAAATGCGTCGGGGTTAAACATGTTTAGTGAGATCTCAACCCTCCACCTATACCTCTAGCCAATGTAGATTAAACAAACACACAGCAATACGTATAGTAAAACTCAGTTTAAAAGAAGTCCGAGTCTGATGTCAGAATAGGTAACAAAAGAAACTAAGCAAAATGACAATGATACATAAATTAACAAAGGACTACTAGCAGTTACCGACATGCCAGCTCCAGACCTCAATTAAACTGATTGAAAGATTGTTTTCATCATTTTAAAATCAAGCACAATCCCTCATGATAGGGGTTTAGTATCATACCATCATAAAATATATTAGAAGAACATAACCTGTATCATGCCAACAACTGGTTTTAGAATAAATGTGTTTATTTCCGATGCAATGACCCTATGAGTGAATCAATATTAATACCAAAATATGCCATCTTTAATGACCTGACAATAGTATCGTAACTATATCTCTTCTGAATAAGTCTGTTTAAAGGTTTGGTTAGCTTTTGCGGTGAATGCCGACATTTTTGTGCTTTGTAAAGAATATTACCATAAAAGATTGGATATGAAATACCTGGACGTATAAGATGTCTGCATGTTGATTTATATTTACGAATGATGTCCTTGTACCAATGGTAAAATTTAGTAAATGTTTTGACTAGTTTGTGATATCGAAAACCCTGGTGTAATAATTTTTCAGTAATACAGAGATTTCTAAAAATGGATAATTAACAATAAGAAATGAAAAATCATCTCTTTTATCATAAATGTTGGTAATAAGCTTTCTGTTAAAGACATAGATATCAAGATCCAGGAAAGGGCAGTGTTCATTGTTAGTATTAGCTTTATTTAAAATCAGTTCAGCAGGATAAATCTCTTTAGTGTACATACTGAAGTCGTCATTATAGAGACCCAATATATCATCCAAATATCTAAAAGTGTTATTAAATTTTTGTATCAGATGTTGTTTCGATGAGTCTTTGCTGATTTTAGTCATAAATTGTAAGTACTACTAACTCATAACAATACAGAAACAGGTCTGCAATTAGTGATGCACAGTTACTGCAACTATTTGAGCCCTGTTTTCAGAAAACATTTGGATAGAGGTACTTCAACAAAACTAGAGGTTGAGAGCCTGTGTCGCTCACCTGTATTTACTGATGCTTTGGAAATCATGTAAAATAAGGTTAAAATCATAATTAATAGTATTAGATATTAGATAATATAACGATATCTAAGATAATAACAAACTAGAGGCTCTAAAGAGCCTGTGTCGCTCATCTTGGTCTATGTGCATATTAAACAAAGGACACAGATGGATTCATGACAAAATTGTGTTTTGGTGATGGTGATGTGTTTGTAGATCTTACTTTACTGAACATTCTTGCTGCTTACAATTATCTCTATCTATAATGAACTTGGCCCAGTAGTTACAGTGGAAAATATTTTGTAAAAATTTACCAAAATTTACAAAATTTATGAAAATTGTAAAAAATTGACTATAAATAACAATAACTCCTTAAGGGGTCAATTGACAATTTTGGTAATGTTGACTTATTTGTAGATCTTACTTTGCTGTACATTATTGCTGTTTACAGTTTATCTCTATCTATAATAATATTCAAGATAATAACCAAAAGCTGCAAAATTTTCTTAAAATTACCAATTCAGGGGCAGCAACCCAACAACATGTTGCCTGATTGGTCTGAAAATTTCAGGGCAGATAGATCTTGACCTAATGAACAATTTTATCCTCGTCAGATTTGCTCTAAATGCTTTGGTTTCAGAGATATGAGCCAAAAACTGCATTTTACCCTATGTACTATTTTTTAGCCATGTCGGCCATCTTGGTTCAAGGGCGGGGTCATCGGACACATTTTTTAAACTAGATACCCTAATGATGATTGTGGACAAGTTTGGTTAAATTTGTCGTAGTAGTTTCAGAGGAGAAGATTTTTATAAAAGATTACAAAAATTAATGAAAAATGGTTAAAAATTGACTATAAAGGGCAATAGCTCCTTAAGGGGTCAACTGACCATTTTGGTCAAGTTGACTTATTTGTAGATCTTACTTTGCTGAACATTATTGCTGTTTACAGTTTATCTCTATCTATAATAATATTCAAGATAATAACCAATAAAATGCTTCGCTGGGGCGCAGCTTGATACGACCGCAGAGGTCGAACCCTGAACAGTTGGGGCAAGTATGGACACAAAATTCAAGCTTGATACAGCTATGACTTTGGATTGTCATTAAATATTTGACACAGCATAGGTTTCTGACACAGGATGAATGTGGTGTAAGAACTGGAAAAAATTTAATGTACCTATTATGGTGGAATATCCATAAACTAAATTGTTTGTTAATTTCAATATATCAAAGAATATGTAGAATTCAATGTTTGATGTAATGTAATAAAGTTGAAATTTGGACCGTTTTTGTTCAATGTGGACCAATTTGGTAACATGTATAAATAATCAAAATTCTAAATACATGGGAGCCCATTTAAATACATCATAAAGGTATTAAAATAGAAAGTGACATCATAGTCATGGCTAAAAATAAACAAAAATCCTTAATCAGCAACATTTAAAGTAATATCTAAAAATAAAATTCCTTTGTAACCATAAAAGCCCATTTAAATACATCATAAAGATATTAAAATAGAAAATGACATCATAGTCATGGCTAAACATAGCAAAAAACCCTTAATCAGCATCATTTAACAGTAATATCTAAAAATGGAAATTACATCATAAAGGTATTAAAATAGAAAATGACATCATAGTCATGGCTAAAAATAAACAAAATCCTTAATCAGCATCAGCAACATTTTATAGTAATATCTAAAAATAAAATTCCTTTGTAACCATAAAAGCCCATTTAAATACATCATAACAGATATTAAAATAGAAAATGACATCATAGTCATGGCTAAACATAGCAAAAACCTTAATCAGCATCATTTAACAGTAATATCTAAAAATAAAAATTTCTTTGCAACCATAAAAGTAAAATAGAAAATGACATCATAATCATAGCTAAAAATAAACAAAAATTTTTTTTATTGGCAAATTTTAAATGGAGTTTATTATACTAAAACAATAAATTTGCAACCATAAACATGATAAAACCCCATTTAAACACATCATAAAAGTATTAAATAATTCAACTACATCATAAGGCTATAAAAATAGAAAATGACTTCATAGTCAAGGCTAAAGGTAAACAAAAAACCTTCATCAGCAAAATTTTATATTGGCAAATTTCCAATGAAGTTTATTACACTAAAATTGTTGGCAAATTTCCAATGCATTTATTAACAATAAAGTTATTGGCAAATTTCCAATTTACATAATTTAAAAGCAGTGTAGATGAGATATTTAAATGAGTTTGAATTACCAACCTTACACTGCTTTTAAATAATGTTCTTTACTCAATTATTTGTCTATTAAAATGGAAACCCTTGTTATTTAACCTTTTTTCCCCTTATTCCTTAAACATTAGAGCCATAATCACCCCCCCCCCCCCCCCCCAAAGCCAATTATTACTTTCCAAAGTAACCTAAATTTCCAATATACATAATTTTAAATTTCAGTTCCTCATGATATATAACTGTATCATTATTATTTTCTTTCATATATAAATCTGAAACAACCATCTTTAAATGGAAAATTTTAAAGAAAAAAAAAGGAAAAAAAAAAATCCTACCCCCCACACATTTTTTCAACCCCCTTTTGATTCATCATCCCCCACCTCAATCACAACCTTCAATTTGTGGTATGGTACATTGCAATACAATTTCACAGAGATCCATACACTTGAACACAAGTTTTTGTTGCAAACTAAAAAAATCCTTATTTTCGACCAATATTTGGCCCCTTATTCACAAATGTTTGAGCAATTAACCCCAAAACTCAATTCCTACTTTCTCTTCGTGATAAAAAATAACTAACTTAAAATGTAAATTTTAAACAAAAAAAAAAGGAAAAAAAAAAATTACCCCTTTTTTGACCCCCGCCCCCCTTATGATTCATCACCCCCACCCCCCTTTCCCCCCAAACCAAGCTCAATAACAGCCTTGCCTTTGTGGTATGGTACCTTGTAATACAATTTTAGAGAGATCCATACACTTGAACACAAGTTATTGTCTAGAAACTAAAAAATGCTTATTTAAAACCCCTTTTTAGGCCCCTTATTACTAAACGTTTTGGGCAATTACCACAACACTCAATTCCAGCTTTCCCTTTGTGAAATGGAACCTTGTAGTAAAATTTCAGAAAGATCCATACACTTACACACAAGTTATTGTCATGAAACTAGAAAAATGCTTGTTTTTTGCCCCCTTTTGGCCCCTTATTCCTAAAATTTTGAGGCAATTAACCCCAAAATCAATCCCAGCATTGACCCTTTGTGATATGGAATCTTGTGGTACAATGTCAAAGAGATCCATATGCTAACACACAAGTTATGTCTGGAAGTTACAAAAATGCTTATTTTCGACCCCTTTTTAGCCCCTAATTCCTTAACTGTTGGTACCATAACCCCTAAAATCAATCCCCACCTTCCTATTGTGGTATTGAACCTTATGGTAAAATTTCATAGAGATCCATTCACTTAAACTAAAGTTAGAGTGCGAAAACCATTGTGTATTCGGACGACGACGCCGGACGACGACGCCGCCAACGTCATACCAATATACGACCTCAAAATTTTTTTGCGGTCGTATAAAAACGGCAACATTTCCATAAAATTACCAATTCAGGGGCAGCAACCCAACAACAGGTTGTCCGATTCATCTGAAAATTTCAGGGCAGATATATCTTGACCTGATAAACAATTTTACTCCATGTCAGATTTGCTCTAAATGCTTTGGTTTCAGAGATATAAGCCAAAATCTACATTTTACCCCTATGTTCTATTTTTAGCCATGTCGGCCATCTTGGTTGGTTGGCCGGGTCACCGGACACATTTTTTAAACTAGATACCCTAATGATGATTGTGGACAAGTTTGGTTAAATTTGTCGTAGTAGTTTCAGAGGAGAAGATTTTTGTAAAAGATTAAAAAAATTAATGAAAAATGGTTAAAAATTGACTATAAAGGGCAATAACTCCTTAAGGGGTCAACTGACCATTTTGGTCAAGTTGACTTATTTGTAGATCTTACTTTGCTGAACATTACTGCTGTTTACAGTTTATCTCTATCCATAATAATATTCAAGATAATAACCAAAAACGGCAACATTTCCTTAAAATTACCAATTCAGGGGCAGCAACCCAACAACAGGTTGTCTGATTCATCTGAAAATTTCAGGGCAGATATATCTTGACCTGATAAACAATTTTACTCCATGTCAGATTTGCTCTAAATGCTTTGGTTTCAGAGATATAAGCCAAAATCTACATTTTACCCCTATGTTCTATTTTTAGCCATGGCGGCCATCTTGGTTGGTTGGCCGGGTCACCGGACACATTTTTTAAACAAGATACCCCATTATGATTGTGGCCAAGTTTGGTCAAATTTGGCCCAGTAGTTTCAGGGGAGAAAATTTTTGTAAAAGTTAACGACGACGGATGACGACGGACGACGGACGCCAAGTGATGAGAAAAGCTCACTTGGCCCTTTGGGCCAGGTGAGCTAAAAACTGCAAAATTTCTGTAAAATTACTAACTCAGGGGCAGTATCCTACTAACTCAGGGGCAGGAACCCAACAACTGGTTGTTGGATTTGTCTGAAAATTTCAGGGCAGATAAATCTAAATCTGATGAACATTTTTGCCACCTGTCAGATTGGCTCTAAATGCTTTATTTTCAGAGATATAAACTAAAAACTGCATTTTACCCCTATGTTCTATTTTGAACCATGTCAGCCATGATGGTTGGAAGGGGGGTCATCGGACATTTTTTTTAAACTAGATACCCTAATAATGATAATGGCCAAGTATGGTTAAATTTGTCTCAGTAGTTTCAGAGAAGAAGATTTTTGTAAAAGATTACAAAAATTTACGAAAAAATTGTTAAAAATTGACTATAAAGGGCAATAACTCCTAAAGGGCTCGACTGACAATTTTTGTCATGACAACTTATTTGTAGATCTTACTTTGCTGTACATTATTGCTGTTTACAGTTTATCTCTATCTATAATAATATTCAAGATAATAACCAAAAACTGCAAAATTTCCTTAAAATTACCAATTCAGGGGCAGCAACCCAACAATGGGTTGTCAGATTTGTCTGAAAATTTCAGGGCAGATAGATCTTGACCTGATAATCAGTTTTAACCATACGTCAGATTTACACTTAATGCTTTGGTTTCAGAGATATAAGCCAAAATCTACATTTTACCCCTATGTTCTATTTTTAGCCATGGCGGCCATCTTGGTTGGTAAGCGGGGTCATCGGATACATTTTTAAAACTAGATACCTTAATGATGATTGTGTCCAAGTTTGGTTAAATTTGGCCCAGTGGTTTCAGAGGAGAAGATCAAAAGAAACTTTAATGTGTATTCTCATTTTCATGACAAGGTTGAAATGAAGTTAAAAGTATGTCAACATCAACAATTTCTGAAAGGATGTATAGTTCAAAACTAAAGTACTGAAAAGTTAAATCTAACCACCTTGAAAGCATAATAAAAGGAACCAATAAATATTCAAAGCATAATCAGAAGATAGTTCTCAATTACATCAACATTGTTGACCAAGGACATATTCCAACCATAACATAATTGAAAACCATTGTTGGCATCTTATTCAACCATACATACGTGACATTAACATATCTTTTAAGTAGTTTTCGTTATTAAAAACATTAAACAGATACAATTGTAGTGTAATAATAGCTTTATTTAATACACATGGTTAGATATTGACCAACAGACCTTGAATGTTTGCTGTAAACAACAAAGAAAATCAGGCATTTTATATCAAATCTCTTATGGTCATGTCATTATCTTATAAAGCAAGTTTAAATGAATTTCCTCTTACAAGTATTTTAGGAAAATTCAGAAGTATCCGCTCACCTGTTAACCAGTCTTTATAGGACAAAATATTTACCTTGTGTAGCTGTTTAATACAACAAGAGTGCACATGCTGAAATGTCTCACCTGCTTTACTAACCATTGATTTTATGTTGATAGTCCTAATTATAAAACACAAAAACTTAACACTGAGCAATGAACTGTGAAAATGAGGTCAAGGTCATATAAAACCTGCCAGACTGACCTGTACATCTTCAAATATTTCCATACACCAAATATAGTTGACCTATTGCATATAGTATTAGAAAAAAAGACTAAAACAGAAAAACTTAAATTTAACCACTGAACCATGAAAATGAGGTCAAGGTGAGATGATATCTGCCAGTACACCTTACAATCATTCCATACACTAAATATAGTAGACCTATTGCTTATAATATCTGATATATGGACTTGACCACATAAAATTAACCTTGTTCACTGATCCATGAAATGAGGTCGAGGTCAAATGAAAATTGTCTGACGGGCATGAGGACCTTGCAAGGTACGCACATACTAAATATAGTTATCCTATTACTCATAATAAGAGAGAAATTAACAGTACAAAAAAATCTTAACTTTTTTTTCAAGTAGTCACTGAACCATGAAAATGAGGTCAAGGACAATGGACATATGACAGACGGAAACTTCATAACATAAGGCATCTATATACAAAGTATGAAGCATCCAGGTCTTCCACCTTCTAAAATATAAAGATTTTAAGTAGTTAGCTAACGCTGCCGCCGTGGCCGGATCCCTATCCCTATGTCTAGCCTTCTGTGATAGAAGTCGCAGGCTCGACAATAAACTGTTGACACAGAGATATGTCTCGCCTGTTGGCAGAAAATTCACAAAAAGACAATCTGATGGACAGCCACATTGTTAATTAATTCATTCAATGGACCATGACCTAGGGGGCAGGGCCTCAAAATAGTCATCAAACTGATATGTACTGAAAGTAATTCAACTTTATACAAGATATCATTGATATATCACAAGAAGTTCATATCAAACTAATTTTATCAGAAAACTTAACATTGAAAATTGATAATTAATTCAAAGTCACTAGACCATGACCTAGGGGGTAGGGCCTGGGAAAAGTTGTCAAACTGATATATAATGATAGTAATGCAAATTTATACAAAATGTCATTGATCTATCACAAGTAGTTCCTATCAAACTGACTTGAGCAGAAAACTTAACAATTGTCAACGCTGCCAACACCAGAAAAGCAACACCTATGTCTGGCTTTGGCGATTTTTTTCACAGGCAGGACCAAAATTGAAAGACAAACCTTCTTGTTCAATAACATAAATATCTGTTTAGCACTAGGTCTTGTAAGCTTTCAATCTCTATAAAAAACATTTTTGACAGCTTCAGATTTCAAAATAATTTAGCTATTGTAAAAATAAAAATAAAAAGATGTACTGTGTTCCTATATGTGCATGATATTTTTCTAAAGACATGACTTTTCTACAAACAGGGACATAACTAGATGAAGCATAGCTCTAGATAAGAAGCTTTGACTTATTGTTTAAGAGAAAATGTGACAAAAATATGGTACGGAGAGAGGCAAATCAGTCTCTTTTACTTGATTACTCAGCCCATGTATAGAAATTTCATTTTCTTGTGATTAATTGATATGCAGAGAGATAGACACACTTACAGACCAGCACAGCACTTCTATGGGACCCACTCATAGGAAAGAGAACAAATAAAATAGTTTAGGATGAAACTATCCAACCTATTGCATGATTCTGACACATAAAGCTGGTTCTAAGTGCTATATCAATGGCATCTTTTTTTCTTATTCTTTATCTCTGTTATTCTTACTACAACATAAGGTTTGTATTTTGCTTATTGTTTTTAATAACAAGTTGCTCCTTATTCTACCTCACTTCTTCCTTCATATGTCTCTTACTTGATCAAATGGCAATGTGATTATTTTCAAACTACAACCTCACATCATGATTGATCATCTTTGACCAATCAGATAAGTTCTTCTTTCTGAGTCTCAGTCCTATTGCAATCAGAAGACTATTATTGCCCATTATACACAGTCTAGCATCTCAGTTTCCATGAAACTCATGTCTTCCTCTATCATACTTTCTAAATTTAAGTCCTCTTCCAGAATTGAATCTGTATTTATATCAGCAATTTCCTGTTCATCCTCATTTGTCTCCCTTTCATCTTCTTCCTCTGTATCTGGCAATTCATCTTCTTCCTCCTCTTCATCAGTTTCTTCTTCATAAATTTTCTTCTTTTTTATTCTTTTTAATCTCAGATTCCTAGCTGAAATATACAATTATCATTGACATCACATGAATGTGTAAAGGTAAAATACTTTGATACAAAATTGTGTCCAAAGTCTGTTTCAAAAGCCAAAATCATAAAACCTTGGATAGCATAAAAAACCAAAAGGATCTAAATAGAAGAGTCAAAACTGTCTACTATAACTATGTCTCAGGGGTTGTACCTAAGCTTGTCCTCAATTACCTCTATTGTATGATCTGGAAATATTTAGGGAAAAATCATTTGAATCATGTCAACACTGGCTACTTGGAAAATGGTACAGTTGGGACCGATAATCCAACCATCCATGTTGAGTGTGCCCACAATACAGACAATCAAGTGTACGTTCAAAATTGGTCAAAAAAGGTCAACTGGTGCAAAACTTGTATAGAATTATAAAATCCAATTATACAATCAAATATACCATATATCAGTTTATTATCTGCAGAGAAAATTGTTCTTCTAAAGAAATTTTCTATTCTAAGTTCCATTATTGGTTGAAACATTGGACATAATGGAATAATGTTTTAACTCATCTTTAACTTAATTCTGCTTTTATCATTCAGAGAAAAGTCCGCTGATGAGGTGTTATGAGTATTACAATAATAGTAAAAACCTAACACTGATTTCTAAAACAATGACAAAAGTTAATCTCTTGGTTTGAGGTTGTTAAGAAAAGGGTTTGCTAAAACTTTGCTATCTCTTCTCATTTACCTTTCACGGTACACGTACACGTTATGATAGTTAATACTAGTAAGCTGAATAAAATTTCATGTTGAAAATTTGCTGATACATGTCAAGTTAAGTAACACCTAAAATAAAATTCTCTACAATGTATGGGTTATAACCACAATTTCACAATATGGAGAGTTCAATTCAGCTTTAACCTAAGAGCAGAAATTTGACTCTGTTTATGAATATAGGTACCTGAAAAAAAAACCTGTATCTAATGGAATTTTATACCTAAAACATAAATATGTCAAGAGATTATATCTTTAAACTTCTTATTTTTTGTGACTGTCTAGGGGCTTTGATCTTTATATCATTTTATGGTTTAAAGTAAACAAGATCAAGTTATCAATGATTCATGGTTTCCTTAGATTGTGCAAGGTTATTTTAAATTACTGCACCATGCAGAATATCAAACCTTCCTACTGTGTAACCTAATACGGGTAGTTCAACTATTTCTGCATGCTTAAAAGTACAGATATCACCCTAAAATAAGACATAAACCTTTAAAACCTACATCAATGTCAATGTTAGACATACAAGTATAATGATATCAAATAATTTTAATTTAAAACGACACTTGTCATCAAATGTTATATTATGACCTATATAGCTAACACTACAAAAACTAGAGGCTCTCAAGAGCCTGTGTCATTCACCTGTATCTACTGTTGTTTTGGAAATCATGTAAAATAAGGTTTAAATCATAATAAATAGTATTAGATACCCTAATAATGATTGCACATGAGGCCAATTTGGTTTAATTTGGCCCAGTAGCTAAATAAAAAGCAGGTCATCTCAATAGTAACTAGACTTACAATAGTAACTGAAGACCCCTTATCATTATTTAAATTTTTTTTCAAGTTGTGAACATTTGAAATTGTTTTTTTTACAATTTTCCCTTAGACTTCTAAAGTAAATCCCTATGTCCTATTTTTAGCCATGGCGGCCATGTTGTTTGGATGGCAGGGTCATTTTTCAATCAAGATACCCTATTGAATATTGTGGCTGAGTTTAGTTCTATTTGGCCCAGTAGATTAAGTGGAGAAGATTTTTGTAAAAGATTAAATCTTTTACAAAAATTTACGAAAAAAATTGTTAAAAATTTGACTATAAAGGGCAATAACTCCTTACAGGGTCAATTGAAAATTTTGGCCATATTGACTTATTTGTAGATCGTACTTTGCTGAACATTATTGCTGTTTACAGTTTATCTCTATCTATAGGTGTAATACCACCATTGATTTTCCCCTATTAGTCTTTGTTAAATTTGCACTTTTCAAAAAATTGTGCAGACTTTATCTTTGTTTCAAATAAAGAAATACTTGGCATGAGTAAAGTTTTATCCTGTCCAGTACTATAGAAAAAAATTCACATAACATTTCATTGCATATAAGAAAATAACCATCACTGGAAGTTAACCAATCAAATTTTCCCCCTTTTTTAACCTGTGTACAAGCTTTAGTAACCATGTAACCTCAAGTTTCCAAAATATTCTATAGAAACCCCAAATAAAAAAATAATGGTGCTTTGAAATACCCAAGATATATGTTTATGACCAAGAAATGTTTTACTGCAATGAAATGTAGGATCAATTACCTACAACTGTCAAATGCAAGGGAATATTTTTTTTCGACCTATTTTCGTATGCAACCGGATGTGACGTACTATGATTTGGTGGTATTACACCTATAATAATATTAAGATAATAATTTGTAAAAAAATTGTAAAAAATTAACTATAAAGGACAATAACTCCTTAAAGAGTCAATTGACAATTTTGGTCATGTTGACTTATATGTAGATCTTACTTTACTTAACATTATTGCTGTTTACAGTCTACCTCTATCTATAATAATATTCAAGATAATAACCAAAAACTGCAAAATTTTCTTAAAATTACCAATTAAGGGGCATCAACCCAACAAAGGGTTGTCTGATTCGTCTAAAAATTTCAGGGCAGATAGATGTTAACCTGATGAACATTTTTACCCACGTCAGATTTGTTCTAAATGCTTTAGTTTAAGAGATATAAGCCAAAAACTGCATTTTACCCCTATGTTCTATTTTTAGCCATGTCCGCCATGTTGGTTGGCAGGCAGGGTCATCGAACACATTTTTTAAACTAGATACCCTAATGATGATTGTGGCCAATTTTTTGTTAAATTTGGCTCAGTAGTTTCAGAGAAGATTTTTGTAAAAGTTAATGACGACAGACGACGACGACGGACGCTAAGTGATGAGAAAAGCTCACTTTGCCCTTCAGGCCAGGTGAGCTAAACATGGATCAAATATTTCAGGGGAAATGCATAAAATGGATGTCCATTTCAAACAATTTCATAGTCAACAAATTAGTAAATTAAGCATCCTGTAATTGTTTCATACAGATTTCTGCCTTGCTTCTAAATATTCTTATGTATACATTTACACCTTGCCAGTCTATAATGCGTTATAAATTAGCTCTAAGGATATCTAGATGTATTTTGAATTTCTGTGTTATTAGGTTGTTCTCTTACTGCCATATACCCCACATATACATTTATTCCTTCTCTCACTACCATATACCCCACATATACATTTATTCCTTCTCTCACTACCATATACCCCATATATACATTTATTCCAAATCTCTCACTGCCATATACCTCACATATACATTTATTCCTTCTCTCACTGCTATATAACCCACATATACATTTATTCCTTCTCTCACTGCCATATAACCCACATATACATTTATTCCTTCTCTCACTGCCATATAACCCACATATACATTTATTCCTTCCCTCACTGCCATATAACCCACATATACATTTATTCCTTCTCTCACTGCCATATACCTCACATATACATTTATTCCTTCTCTCACTGCCATATACCCCACATATACATTTATTCCTTCTCTCACTGCCATATACCCCACATATACATTTATTCCTTCTCTCACTGCCATATAACCCACATATATATTTATTCCTTCTCTCACTGCCATATAACCCACATATACATTTATTCCTTCTCTCACTGCCATATACCTCACATATACATTTATTCCTTCTCTCACTGCCATATACCTCACATATACATTTATTCCTTCTCTCACTGCCATATACTCCACATATACATTTATTCCTTCTCTCACTGCCATATAACCCACATATACATTTATTCCTTCTCTCACTGCCATATACCTCACATATACATTTATTCCTTCTCTCACTGCCATATACCTCACATATACATTTATTCCTTCTCTCACTGCCATATACCCCACATATACATTTATTCCTTCTCTCACTGCCATATACTCCACATATACATGTATTCCTTCTCTCACTGCCATATAACCCACATATACATGTATTCCTTCTCTCACTGCCATATACCTCACATATACATGTATTCCTTCTCTCACTGCCATATACCTCACATATACATTTATTCCTTCTCTCACTGCCATATACCCCACATATACTAGTACATTTATTCCTTCTCTCACTGCCATATACCCCACATATACTAGTACATTTATTCCTTCTCTCACTGCAATATACCCCACATATACTAGTACATTTATTCCTTCTCTCACTGCCATATACCCCACATATACATTTATTCTTATGCAATTAATGACACATGTTTTTAGACTGTACCAATTAATTTCATTCACAATTACTGTAACACCCATATAACTGTTGGCTTGTATTAGATACACCTTGAGGGTGTTAGCCTGAATGGGTGTATCTAATTTACACCAAGATATAATGGTCAATGCAGAATGATAGTTTTCAATAATTTAGAAGGGTCTTTCAACAATTTAACTATATATTATTGTAAAGCATGATAAATGCAGGGTATCCAATTTCATTTCAACCACATCTTGGTGTAAATAAAGATATACAGCAGTTCTCATTCAAAGAGTGAGCAGAAGGTTGATTAAGTTGGAGGAGTATTGCAATAATTGTAAAATATGAGTGTCAAAATCATTGACTGACTGTAGAAGTTAATGATTAAAACTCTGATCACTTGCTTTAAAGTGGTTGATTGCAAAAATGAGTATATCATGATTCTGGAGTAATCTTCAGTAGGAAACTACTTAGAAAATTCTGCTGTTGTTACTTTCTTTAGTAAACATTGGGTCAGACCTGTAGATAAGTTCACCATTCTGTCACTACTCTACTGTTTCCAACATGAGTGCACATACTGAAAGGTCTCCTTGCTTTACTGATAGGATTGAATTTTATGTTGAAAGTCTTTAACATAAAGATGTTA